ATCAGAAAATGGGCTGAATGGATTCGAAAATGTTAACCTAACGGTTTAACTATTTTGCCTAATTCCAAAAAAAAAGTGGAGTATCCCTTTAAGTGTTTTCTGCGTGAGGTACTTTGTGTTGTATGTTGCCATGACGTTCACGTGCATGCGCACAAAACTACTACGATGGAACCTCAATGTTATTTGTTGGACAACAGATGTGTCCCACATTAAGTCCTTCAGTTTGAGGGTATTGAACCTGGAAAGTCCTTGAATTTAAAGTTAACCAAGAAAATACTCACCCTGGCTGGGGTATTCAAAAATGTTCGGTTTCAGTGTCCTGATACTGCGTTTCCGTGTGGACGAATGGCCGAACCGCGTAAAAAAAGTCACGGTTATAAACATACCCGTGTCCGTGTGGACATGGCCTTAGCGAAGGGTCAATTACAGCACCTTGAATGGGGGCACATTTCTGTTTAAACAACATAAGTAGTACAATTGGAAAACAATGATTGTGCTTCTTACTCTCAAATCAGACTCACAAAACTTTTTTTTTTTCAGCTAATGCAAAACTAAATCTACCTGTTAAAGTGGGATTGTTCGTGTCACTTTGACAGTACTGGTATTTTCTATAGGGAAGTCAAACTCCATCAGGCGAAACAGACGTGTTGAGACATTGGCCTTGGCTCCCGCTCTCAAGTAGGCCACACGTGGCCAAGGGACCAACGGCAGCCATTTTTCAAGAAGCCTTTCTGTTAGCATATGGAAGTAAACATGCTTATCTATACTGAGCTCCTGAGCGTTCCCTTCAAACTGGCCATCTTTAAACAGTTTGTATATCTGATAGAGGGGGAGAATGCGCTTCCAAGATGAGGCACTGAACAACCACATTATGTTTGCAGCAGAGCTGGAAGTGATTACCAGTGTAGTTCATTATTCAGTTTTGTTGGAGGGGGGGAGCATGAATGCCCAAAGCATTTAGTGGTCAGAAAGGGGAGGCTTTTTTTCCCTCTCTCATCAGTCTGTGAGTCTGTTCTGCAGTGTCAGCATTCAGCACACAAACACGGAATTCAGTAAAAGCTCTCTCCACTCTCCCAGAGCGTTTCCCCCCTTTTTTTCCAACAGCCTGCTCCCTTCCCCCCTCGTGAACTGACATTCTAGAAGAAACATATGCTGCTAGTCCACATCACAACAGCTTGTGCTGCCTGAATGGAAGAAGGCACGGAGAGAGGAAGCTGCCGGAAGGGTGGGGGAAGGGGTGGAGTGATACACGGAGAGTCTTCAAGAATGCTCAAGAGTTCTTGAAGGTGTTGCATGTTGGACCTATTGAGTGGTTCATGTGAAGTTGGGTGGAGAATATAAAATATTCAAAGAGGAAATTACATTTTTACCGTTTATGACCCCAGTTTATGGGGTGATTTGGAATAGGGGCCAAAGTTACATGGGTTAAAACCAAGCGGCAATAGTCTGATCTGAAAGATGAAGCCTACCCGGAAGTGCAATAAACTGCAATACATCTCAAATCCACTAGAGGCAAATATCCATAGACGTTATGTTATAATATCCGTTTTCACAGCATAAATTCATATGTTTACAGTTTGGTCCCATGGACTTTTATCAGTGTTGTAGTACTCGAGACTCGGACTCGTCTCGGACTCGGTCTCGAGACCATATTTTAATGGTCTTGTACTTGTCATGGACTCGTGTCCATTTGGACTCGGAATTGACTCGTACTCGAACATTTTTTTTTTTTTAGGACTCGGAATTATTCCCGAGTCCACTCGAGTTCAATTAGAAATATTTTTCATGATTATTAATGTATGTTAATAAAATATTTCTTTAAATTGATTGACACGCCCAGTGATTGATGATTTTCAGTGCGCAACTGCGCATGACAAATTGTAATAAAATTACTTTTAACACCACCTACTATGTGGCCTTTTTACCCTAAACTGATCATATTTTTTAAACTCTAAGTAAATTCAGTAAAAAAAAAAAAAAAAAGGATTTCTCTAAGTAAATAAAAGTAAATTAGGTAATCAACCCTCACTGGTCTCGGTCTCGACTCGGACTCGACCGGCTCTGGTCTCGGACTCGACTCTCTATGGACTCGGTCTTGACTCGGACTCGACTCTGCTCTCGGTGTCGACTCGGACTCGAGTGAGGTGGTCTCGACTACAACACTGACTTTTATTGTAATCTTCAATATGTTCTGCGTGCCTGACAACTGTGAGGGGGGTGAATTTTTTTTCTAACTCGTTAGTTTAGATCATATTTAGATATAAAACGTATAAGGGCGGTTAACTTTGATTGACAGCTGATAATGGGCTGCGCCGAGTGAATTTGACGTCTCGGCCATGATCTGACACAACACATCATGCCACCTCTGTATCCTTTCTGAAACTTTTGTATTTTGTATTTTCCAAGATTTTCTAGTATGGCGTCACCCATAAACAGCCTCAAACTTGTTCTTCAGAGAGTCTATGGGTGACGTCACAGACGCTTTGTCCATATTTTTTACAGTCTATGGTTAAAACCTTCTAAAGTCAACATGAAATGGACTTTATTTACTTTCTTAATGCATGTTCCTATCCTGATCGTGCATGACTCATTAGAGCACGTTATCTCTGCATCTGAAAATGACTTTCTTTTTCAGCTGACATCCCAAATACATTTTACTTTTTGAACCCCTCACCCAAACCACCAACCCCCATTCAAGCTCTAATTATTTCCTGACGGATACACTCCCTCAAAAAACAAAACAAGGTACAAAAGCACTCTCTTTTCCACCAAGAAAAAGAACTGGTTCGTAACTGGCGCTGGTTCAAAGTTGGTTCGGAGTTGGATCAACTTGCGAACCGCTTCAGAACCTGTTTGTTTTTCCACTGACTAGAGCGCCCAGGGAACGACGTCGTTACGTCACTGTGTACGTCGCCATACGTCTTAGCTAGAAACGCTTGCAAATACAACATTACTTTCGGATTATCTCTAACTCGTATACGCTTTAAAAACAACTGAAATATGTAAGTCTTGTAATCTTTTCCTTTGATATGTAATTATTTCTGATAAGTTATGTACCCCTGTAATTGTGTCTTCTTTTCTTTCCATTTATTTGTGACTTTTCTTCTTTGCTTATAATGTCTTCAATAAAAAAATTACAAAAATAGAAACGCTAAATGCGTTAACTTCAAGAATAACAATTACAAAGGCGGACTCCATCGTGTTTCTGCAAATGTTTCTCCTGGATTTGCGATCCTTTATTATGGTCAGAAAAGATGTTTAGGACACATCTAAACCCGCCCCAGACCCTGACGTAAGCATGACGTGGTAAAAGAACGGTTCTAGTCCAGCAAAGACTTGGTGCCGCTTTGGAACCAGTTCTCCTGGCAGAGAACCGGTTCTTTGGCTGTCGAAACACAAAGAACTGGTTCGCGCGCAGGCACCGGCTCCGAACCGGCTCTCAAAAGCGCCTTTTCCACCAAAGCATTTTGAGAGCCGGTTCGTAGCCGGATCGCAAATCCAGGAGAAACATTTGCAGAAACACGATGGAGTCCGCCTTTGTAATTGTTATGCTTGAAGTTAACGCATTTAGCGTTTCTATTTTTGTATTTTTTTTTTTATTGAAGACATTATAAGCAAAGAAGAAAAGTCACAATATAGAACAAATAAATGGAAAGAAAAAAAGACACAATTACAGGGGTACACAACTTATCAGAAAAAATTACATATCAAACGAAAAATTTTAAAGACTTACATATTTCAATTGTTTTTAAAGCTTTCTTGGTATACGAGTTAGAGATAATCCGAAAGTAATGTTGTATTTGCAAGCGTTTCTAGCTAAGACGTATGGCGACGTACACAGTGACGTAACGACGTCGTTCCCTGGGCGCTCTAGTCAGTGGAAAAACAAACAGGTTCTGAAGCAGTTCGCAAGTTGATCCAAGTCCGAACCAACTTTGAACCAGAACTAGTTCCGAACCAGTTCTTTTTTTGGTGGAAAAGCGGTAAAAATGCTTTGGTGGAAAAGGGGCTTGTGACGGTACTCTTTCGAAAAAGGTACTAATTTTTATCACTTAGGTACTAATATGCATCACCCTTTAGTGGTAAATAAAGTACAAAGGTGTATCTTTTGGAAGGGTCACATTTGTACCGTATTTTCCAAGAGTTTAAAATCAAAAATCAGCCATATATATACACATATATGGCTGATATGTATACAATATACATTTTTCTTCTTGAAAATCCAGTTTTCACTCATACTTCCGATACATTGGTAAAATGGTTGTGCAATATTTTTTTTAAAAAGTGCATCATCACAAATCAACCAACAAACATCTAAGCCCAGCTGACTTCTACCCGACAGTCAGCGGCATTGAGTCACAAAAGTGTTGACTCTGAGAAAGATCGCGAGGCCTTAGGGTTTCAATAAGGGCCAAGAAGGACTCTTAGATAAAATCGTCGACAAATGACCTACATATTTGGAAGGCCATGTTGGTTTTTCTACTTGATTTGTGTGTGTGTTTTTTTTTTAATTAGATTTCACTATTGTATGTTGCTCAGGTTATTTACATTATAGAGTAGATCCTTATTTAGGTTGGTAGGTCAATATTACCTTGGATGCTGACAAAGAGGGGCAACTTGAAACCGGGCAACTGAGAATAAGATTGTTCTCCTTTTGACAGATGAATTTTATGTTTTTTTTTTAAATGGAAATGCCAGGTGGTTTTAAGAAATGTTTAAGGATAAACCTTCCAGTCAGAAACTTAATTTCCTCAGGCAATTGGATTTAAGTCGCAGTAATCTTAGACGCATGTCTTCAAAATTCATGCTGCGAAAAGTCAAAGTCATTTATGGAGGACTACTTTTATTGCCACTTTGACTGACAATTTAACAAAAAGTGAAATGTATTTAAGTGTAGTTCAAGCTGAAGTTTTACCAATGTTAAAATACCAGAGTACAATCGATAGATATTCGTGCAGGAGAGAGTAAGCACAACTCTGTTTGTTTATTGTCTCTTCCAGGATTCACCCTAGTCTTCTCCAGGCTTCGGCTTGGAGGTCCCAACCGCCACCATTGATCCCAGCAGCTGGAGTGGCAGTGAAAGCTCTGCCGAGGATATTGAGAGGATGAGTGACTCAGCCGACAAGCCCATTGACAATGACGCTGAGGGGGTGTGGAGCCCTGACATAGAGCAGAGCTTCCAGGAGGCACTGGCCATCTACCCGCCCTGTGGACGCCGCAAAATTATCCTCTCGGATGAAGGCAAGATGTATGGTAAGAACACGGTGCTTCTTTCAAACTATATCGTACAGGATACAGCCACAAACAATCTCTATTTCTTCAGAAATCCAATCAACAGTTGACAGAAAAATGCAAGGTGTCAATTTTGGTTTAGCAAACAATAACGCCTTGTTCTTGCCAGTTGTATGTGTTAAATCTCTTCAATAGTCATGTGAGATTTTTTTTTTTTTGTCCTAACCATAACCGTTGATCATTTAGGATCACTTGCTTCCAATTTCCCCAGCCATGGTGAAATCTAGTCAAAAATCATGCTCAGTGGCTGTATATTAAAATTATCATACTTTTGATATACATGTTCCTGGTTTTGTTGGCCGCAATTCAGGTCATTCCAAAAGAAAATCTGTTGGGATTCACGATACATACTTTCATACAATGAGAAGCAATTGTAAACTAAAGATAAGCTCCCTGCTGTCAAAATAAAAGTTGAATTGTTTAGTGTTTGAAAATGCATTAAGACATCATTAAGTATTGGTATTTTAATTTAAAAACGAATTATATTATTATTTCTTGTTTTACAGTGACATATTACAATAGTCATTATTTTTTAAGGCAGTATTGATATATAATCAAACATTTTTGGCCAAATTGTACCCTACAAACTGCTTTGTAGCCCTCAAACCGTATTCACTTTATAGCCCTGACAAATGTTGGCACAGAGGACTCAGGTGTGATCCTAATTTTTATTTATTATAAATGTTATATCACTGTCTTCGATAAAGTTTTGTCTATCCATTTATGGGTTTTTTTTTATTTTATTTTGGGGCTATTTTAGAAATTATTTACTTCAAAAAGTACCATATTTTCTATGTAAATTATTTCTATGTAAATTAATTACTATGTAGTTTTATTTTTTTAACTACATTAAAATATCATTCCAATAAGTTCTTAGAGCTAAAACCTAAAGATGAAGTGACTTTGCTGTCACCTGGTGTCTTATTTTGGCTTATTTTAGAATGCTCTGTATTACAGTTTTTCTCATTCATTTCTATGGGCGCCCATTTTTCACCCAAATACAAGATTAAGGAGTTTTATTTCACCCACTTAACATTGTAGAATTGAGTAAAAAAAAAAAAAGTGTGTGTTCAGGAGGCAAACTTAGGAAAAGTAGCCAAGTCTTGTACCGCTCAGATCAAGGGAAGTAAATTAAAACTATTTTGCCGGCATTTGTCCAGAATACGGTTAAATTGCAATCTGCATTTTTATCAGAAAAATTGCAATTAGCCCCCCACCCATAAAAACATAATTAAATAAATAAATAAGTAATGCAATATAATAAATGTTTTATTTAATTTTTTTGATTGACATTCTAACAAAGTCACAATTTATTAATCATTGACTTATCGATAGTGGACAAAATGTTATTGATGCATGCTATAGTTTTCCATGCAACTTGCTTTTTGTTTTCTGAAACCACTTTCCTTGTTTTTTAATTGACGTCACCTAGCCCTCGTGTCACATTTCAGCACAATTCAAGATCCAGATTTTTTTTCTTATTGAATATGCTGTTTCACTTATGGATTGCGAACAGAACACCGTTTTTCCATTGAAATATATTCGACTTTTTCTGTAGACCGGGAAATGACTTGTTGCTGGAAACTTGTCACTTTGCATCTGGTTAAGACGCATTATAAATGTCACATGACAAGGCAACAACCCGATTCCCTTACGATGAAGCCTCAACACTCAGGCTGAGCTTGGATTGGTCCCAGAGGTGATCGCTGGAGAAGTAAAGAAGTGAAACTGAGGGCTCTGAGGAATTGCACGAGGGTGGAGAAGATGAGGATAATTGTCAATCAGGAATCTCTGAAGTCTTGGCGGGCCTCTGCAGCAGGCTTCCCATTCGTTGGGTTGTTGTTGAGTAGTGGGAGTGTAAGTAAAGCAGCATGAACTATTAGTCAGGAGCAGATGGTACTGCGGCTGTCACCAGCTGTGCCACCCCCTCCTCCTCTTCCTCTCCTTCTCCTGCCGTCCTCCCCCCTTCCTCCATTCCTGGCTGGGTGATGTCATGGAAAGAGGGAATATTTTCTTTCTGCGGTGGTGGAGTCCCTCACAGCTTGTCAGTGTCAAGTGAAAGCAGAAGGCCCTCGGGCTTTCGTTTGCAGCTGTCATGTGACCCCTCCGGCCAAATGAAATGTAAAGTGTAACTCTCAGCTGCCACTACAAAAAAGTGTTTTGGGCCACCCTGCACACCCTCTGCTCTCAAACTCACTTTCATTCACACCCTCCGTTAAGAGTTAAAGCAAGGAAATTGGTTTGGCTGACCAGTTTTAAATGACCTAGTCCAAGTGTAAGATTCACTACTGCTCAGACTTGTATAAAGAGAGTTTATTTTTTGGGGATTTGTTTATTATGTTATACACTCACCTAAAGGATTATTAGGAACACCATATTCATACTGTGTTTGACCCCCTTTCGCCTTCAGAACTGCCTTAATTCTACGTGGCATTGATTCAACAAGGTGCTGAAAGCATTCTTTAGAAATGTTGGCCCATATTGATAGGATAGCATCTTGCAGTTGATGGAGATCTGTGGGACCCGACGCTCCCGTTCCACCACATCCCAAAGATGCTCTATTGGGTTGAGATCTGGTGACTGTGGGGGCCATTTTAGTACAGTGAACTCATTGTCATGTTCAAGAAACCAATTTGACATGATTCGAGCTTTGTGACATGGTGCATTATCCTGCTGGAAGTAGCCATCAGAGGATGGGGACATGGTGGCCATAAAGGGATGGACAAGGTCAGACACAATGCTCAGGTAGGCTGTGGCATTTAAACGATGCCTAATTGGCACTAAGGAGCCTAAAGTGTGCCAAGAAAACCATTACACCACCACCACCAGCCTGCACAGTGGTAACAAGGCATGATGGATCCATGTTCTCATTCTGTTTACGCCAAATTCTGACTCTACCATCTGAATGTCTCAATAGAAATCGAGACTCATCAGACCAGGCAACAGTTTTCCAGTCTTCAACTGTCCAATTTTGGTGAACTCTTGCAAATTGTCGCCTCTTTTTCCTATTTGTAGTGGAGATGAGTGGTACCCGGTGGGGTCTTCTGCTGTTGTAGCCCATCCGCCTCAAGGTTGTGCGTGTTGTGGCTTCACAAATGCTTTGCTGCATACCTCGGTTGTAACGAGTGGTTATTTCAGTCAAAGTTGCTCTTCTATCAGCTTGAATCAGTCGGCCCATTCTCCTCTGACCTCTAGCATCAACAAGGCATTTTCGCCCACAGGACTGCCGCATACTGGATGTTTTTCCCTTTTCACACCATTCTTTGTAAACCCTAGAAATGGTTGTGCGTGAAAATCCCAGTAACTGAGCAGATTGTGAAATACTCGGACCGGACAACCAACAACCAACAAAAAGTCGCAATTGCGTGTTATAAAAAAAATAAATGTATCTTATATAAAGTCTTGTTGCATTAGCAGATTTGTCGCTTGTTTGTAGCATAAACCATATTAAGAAAATGTATTGTTTTTTTCAAGGTCATTGCTCAAAAAAGTTAATGAAACTGCAAAATACCACTGTATACTGTGCCACATTCCAGACAGTTCTTTCAAAAGAAATCTCAACAAACAATTTTGCTTCTGCTTGCTTATTGTTGTTAAATATATATCATTTTTTACTAGATAAAAGATACTAATTAAGAACGGGAGTTTTTCAGGCAGGAAGCGAATTTTATTGTGAGTGAAGCAATGCTGAATAATGAAATGGTGCTCAATTTTCTATTACAGTTTCTTGTACATCATTTGTACAGAGGAAGCAGCATGCGAGTCATGATATCAACATAAAAATCACCTGACCATGTAAGCAGTGGGTTGCTGACCTGTCTGAGAGTGCAGGGATTGACTAGAGGTCAGCTTTAGCAGCTGTTCAGGGTGTCTGGTTTCATGTTTACTCAACAGCGATGTCCATCATAGCCTCAGGAGTAATGTTTCACAGTCCTCCAGACCACAGGCAGAGACAACAGGAAAGCAGCACACAGTCACGGGTCGCATTGTCACACGTGTTACAAGCAGATGATCACATACTGTAGATGAATTAGATTTGTACATAAATCCCTGCCAACAAAGTTTTGACTTGATGCTTTAAAAGCATATTGATTCACTTACTCCTTAAATGAAGACCTCAGGATTGTTGTCTTTGGGAGATTTTTGGTTGTTCTCATAATCTTTTGCAGAACTGTTGGGAGAAAAGATGAATGACGAAACAATAGGAGGCTACAATATATGTGGGGGTCATATGGAAGCTTGATTCCCCCACTGAATAAAAAATGATGTTTTATCTCACAATTGCGATATATAAAGTCAGAATTCTGAGAAATAAAGTCCCAATTGTGTGAGAAAAAGAGAATTAAGACTTTTTATCTCACAATTGTGAGTTTACATCTCGCAATTCTGACTTTATAACACATAATTGCGAGTTCGAATCGAAATTCTGACAACTTTTCTCAGGATTGTGAGATATAAACTCGCAATTGCAAGAAAAACGTTTTTTCCCCTCAGAATAGTTTATATCTCACAATTCTGACTTTATAACACGCAATTGTGGCTTTATATCTCGCAATTCTGACTTTATATCTCGCAATTCTGACATTATATCTCGCAATTGCGACTTTATATCTCGCATTTCTGACTTTATATCTCGCAATTCTGACTTTATATCTCGCAATTCTGACTTTATATCTCGCATTTCTGACTTTATATCTCGCAATTCTGATTTTATATCTCGCAATTCTGATTTTATATCTCGCAATTCTGACTTTATATCTCACAATTCTGACTTTATATCTCGCAATTCTGATTTTATATCTCGCAATTCTGACTTTATATCTCAATTCTGACTTTATATCTCGCAATTCTGACTTTATATCTCGCAATTGCGACTTTATATCTCGCAATTCTGACTTTATATCTCGCAATTCTGACTTTATATCTCAATTCTGACTTTATATCTCGCAATTCTGACTTTA